GAGGTGGGAGAAAGTAAAAGGGGTGGAAATCTCTAGGAGTGGATACAAAGTAAAATGAAGAGATACATACTTATTTTACATTTGTAGACACAGGATAGTATATAGGCAACAAGATAACAATGAGGAATGTTGAGGTCATTAGGCCCTGGCACCAGGTGTTTTTCTCTGGAGGTCTGGAGAAGAGACCATTCTGACATATTAAGTATGTTATTCTAGAATCTAGATGAACCAAAAACAATGGACAGGTCTTGCTTAAAGGTTAACCTATCATACAAGCCTAGTATATGACTTCCCACCCTAACCCTCTCAGTTAGGAATTTTAACGGTCAGAACATCATCCCCTGTGGTTACTTTCAGTGCCTAAGCTTGTCAGGCTTGCCAGCTAGTCCCCTTTTTGCTCACATTTATTTTGGTCTATCTTACTTCCTTGAATTTAAAAAAAAAAAAAAAATCATTAGTTTTTTAAGAAGATTTTTGTGACACTTCTCTATAAAAATCTCCACGGAATCTGTTATCTTGCAAAACCTACATGATGTTGACACCCTATGTTCTGTCTCCTGTCATTCCTCATAATTTCCTTCTTCTTTCCTAAGTATAACAGAGAAAGAGGAGAGAGGATTCAGCTCCCTTGTCTTCCAGCCAGGCTGTGATGGGGGAGGAAGCCCCCCTCACTGCCTAGGCTGAGTGTGGGGGTAACTGACAGATGTTAGAGTTTGGCTCTTAATTTGTCCCTCCCGGACTGTGCTTTTGTTAAGTGTGGGGCACAAATGTACAATATATAGATAGGTCTATATGTATTTTAAATCTTCACGAGATTTAGTTTACATGGAGGAGAGAATAATGCACGATTAAGGTTCTATGAGGCTGACTGAAGGGGTGGAAAATAATATTCCCTTCTGAGTTCTTAGCTGAGACCCCTGTAATAAAGGACGAATTCACAAGAGAAAAACAAACAGACGCTTATCAACAGATATACCTCACCCATACATGGGAGAGAAAATTCTCAGACATGGCCTAGAATTCCAGTTTATATAACCTCTTCAACAAAGAACAATACATTGTGGAGAAATGACAAGACAAGGAAAAACAGGTTTAGGCTTCCAAGGACGAAGGTAAAGGCTAGTTAGTGAAGTCTGTTATATTTAGATTTCAGTTCACAGTGTCTAAAGTTGTCTGTGGGGACTAACTTTTGTCCTTCCTGGTAGAGAGGAAAGAAGGGACTTCTTTGTAAATTCATGTTCTGCTTTCAGGCAAATAGGGTATAGAGCAGAGAGGGTTTTTTTGTTTGTTTTGTTTATTTGCTTGTTTGTTTTTTGTATCTGCTTCTTCACATTTGCCTTCAGCTCACAATAATCTTTACGTGAAAGTGGCATATTGTGGGCGTGGAATGATCTGCTCCCTTTCCTGACCACCTTTTTGGTCATGATGGAGGAGACCTGCTCTAATTCAACAAAAACTAACAAACAAAAAACACGAGGAGATGAAACCAAGTTTACCATGAAGTATAAATGGGATTTCAGGCACAGTGCAGAACTACTTTTACTGAAGTGAATAGTCGGTGACTCTGATGAAACTCTCATCATAACCTTCGAAATCTCTTTAGATAAAATGGAAAAGCCCAATGTGTAGGTCAGTGTTATTCAGTGTATGTTTCAGCTTATGAACAACAATATTATTTATAATTCAAAAATGTGATAATCTATTTGTGATTTATTTCCTCAAAATGTCGTTGTGTTCCAGTTTTCCCCCTTGCACTCAGTAGATTCTACTGATGCAGAAATATGAGTTTTTAGTTGTATGAATCTCAAATGGTGAGAGTCTAAATTTCACCAGTGTTCTCATATTTGTTCTCAGAAATAAAAATGAATCTGACTCCAAACCAAATGTCATGGCTTATTAATTCTGTTTTTGTGATACTGATAACCGTACTCCATCCTTTAGCAGTGTTACAAAGGAAACACAGGCCCCAAAATCAGTTGTGCTGAGCCCCCCCAAGGCTTAATACCTATCAGTCTCTCCCAGGAGTGAGATTTTATACCAATCAGCCTAGTATTTCCTGGTCAGCACAAGCGAGGCCAACTGCCTGAAAGACCCGTGCCTTCCCCTAAAACAATGGTGACCTTGCTTGAAATAATCCACTCTTTATTTCCTGGGTTGGTCCCACTCTCATTCTGTCTATAAAACCTCCTGTTCTGTATAACTCAAAGTACCTCTCTATTTGCTCGTTGGGATGCTGTCTGATTCATGATCTGTTTAATAAAGCCAGTTAGACTTTTACATTTACTGTGCTGAACTTCCATTTTTTAGTAGCTAACAATGTTGGTTGTCACAAGTTAAGAGATCTGAGATTGAACTTCCAAGACAGGATTTAAAGTGATTTTTGCTTAGTTCATATTCTAGTCTTGACAACCATTAACAAACCCATCACTTTCTCTCTCCCTTTTTTAATCAAATAAAATGACTGGGGTGACACTGGTTAATACAGTATATAAGTTTCAGGTGCACAATTCTATAATATATCACATGTATGCTGCATTGTGTGCTCACTGCCCAATGTCTTGTCTTCTTCCATCACCATATATTTGACCCCCTTACCCTCATCCTCCCCCAATCCCCTTTCTCTCTGAAAACCACCATTCTGTTGCCAGTGTCTAATTGTTTGTTTTGTTTGTTGATGGGTTGCTTTCTGTTCTGTATCCCACATGTGAGTGAAGTCATATGGTCCTTGTCCTTTTATGTCTGACTTATTTTGCCTAATATAATACTCTCGATGACTGATGTTTCTCTCTTTTTTTTTCCCCCTCTCTCTCCCCCTCTCCCTTCCTCTCTCTCTTATCCAACCATCTATCTAAGGACACTTTGGTTGTCTCCATGTCTTGGGCACCATGAATAATGCTGCAGTGAACATGGAGCACATATATATTCACAAATAAATGCTTTCTTTTTTTTTTTTTTTTTTAGGTAGATACCCAGAAGAGGGATTGCTGGGTTGTATGGTAACTCTGTTCTTAATTTTCTGAGGAGCCTTCATAATGTTTTCCATGGTGGCTGCACCAGTTTACATTCCCACAAGCAGTACACCAGGAGGGTCCCTTTTCTCCACAATCTCTCCAACAGTTGTTATTTCTTGTCTTACTTAAACAGCCATTCTAATAAATGTGAGGTGGTATCTCATTGTGGTTTCAATTTGCATTTCCCTTATAGCTAGTGAAGTTGAGCATCTTTTTATATATTTTTTAGCTCTTTGTATCTTTTTGGAAAAAGTGTCTGCTCAGATCCTCTGCCCATTCTTTAAAAAATGGATTATTTGTTTTGTTATTGTTGTTGAGGTGTATGAATTCTTTATATATTTTGGATATTAGCCTATTATCAGATGTATTCTTTGCAAATATCTTCTTCCATTCACTTGGTTGCATTTTTGCTTTGTTGATGGTTTCTTTTGTTGTGCAGAAGCTTTTTAGTGTGTTGTAGTCTTATTCATTAATTTTTGCCGTTACTTTCCTTGCCTTTGAAACCCATTGCTTTCTATCAACTACAGAAACCTTTTTCATTTTTCTCTTCAAGCCAGTCCTTCATAATGCAATACATTTATCTGGTAAGAGACCCTCTACAATTGAAATATCAATTCAATACCGGCTTAACCAGCTATATAAATTTCTCAATGCCTCTCTAACCTATTTAATGGCATGTACAGGATTGAAATACAAAACCAAACAAGAAGGCCCCGCTGGGATTCGAACCCAGGATCTCCTGTTTACTAGACAGGCGCTTTGACCAGCTAAGCCACAGGGCCTCCTTCTAGGTAAATGTTCAATTATATCATATTTGTAACTTTTTCTGTGAATTGTAGCAATTTGCCAGACTTATTTAATTTTGTTACAGAAGGTACATCAGCATTTCTGTATTCGTTCTAAAGCATAAGCATCAACATAAAAATGCATTCTGTATTGCAATGTTTTTAAAAAATGATTTTAAATCGGAATGAAAATTCTATTTCGTGGTGATTATTGCCCTCTAGAGGAAATATTGGATATTGCAGCATATTTTAAATTTGTTTCTTGGTTAATTACGTAAATCTTTTTGTCCACAAATGTGGAGTCACTGCTGTATTTCTGGTACTTCTCTAGATATTGGAGGTAGAACAGCAAACAAAACAGACAAAAACCTCTCCTATAGAATTTATATTCTAGAAGAAGGTAAAGAAATCAAGCTTAAAAAATCTGGTCTCCAAACCCTGAGCAAAGGAGTGAGGCCAGAATCAATTCCACTGTCGTCAGGTGACAGAGCCCACGGTCTGCTTTCTGAGCTAATACTCTGCACATGGCAGGACTGCTGTGCTCCTTCTGTTTCAATTAACCTGCATGAGAAAAGAAGGGGAGCGCAGCTGAGGACACACGATGAAGCCCAAACTTCCACTCCGCCCAAACCAGGCACCCTCAGACCCCCTCGTTCAAGGACAGCCTGGGCCTCAGTGGATCTGCCGCTCCGCGTGGGGTGCGCAGAATGAAACGCTGCGGGGCACCGTCTAGTTCTGCTCACTGAACTGACTTGGTTCCTGCCCTCAAAGATGAAAACTGAGAGCGGAGGGTTGGATCTATGTAGTTAGTCCCCGTTGTCCTGCTGCCATTCCTCTCCTCATGGCAACCTTTCTCGTTTGTTTCTCGTGCATCATTTTGATCACATGTATTTTTTTACAAAGTTGACATTTTTGTTTTGTGTACATATATTATACATTTATGTAAAAGGTGTAGTATCTATTCTTAGGTCTTTAAAAAAACATTGTGACTTTAAGATCCATCAAGTTGCCCTGTGCACACTTAAGTCATTGCTTCTACCTGCTATGCGCAGTCAGTGGTGCGCACCCACGATGTATTTCCTACCCTCGGTCCCAGAGATGAACTCACAGGCTGCCTCCAGTCCCACTGCCACAAAGAACTCACCTCTTCAGCCACCTCCCTGTATGTGCGGACTACATTGTGATACATGTGCAGGAGCAGAATGTCTAATTAGTCCCATTTGTTCTCCAGTCTGTCTACACTCCACCAGCACATGGTGGAGTGTACATGTACATGGGAGCCCTCGCAAAAAAGTGAAGACCCCAAGAATCAACTCTTACACACCAGTTTGGACCAACATGAAGATGTGACCAGACAGAGGGGTTGGGGCTAAGGCAGTTAACTGTGGAAAAGTGACTTGGAAGAAAAGGGTTAGTTTAGTAAGTTGGGTATTTTGAGTCATTTGTTTGTTTTTGTCCAGATTTCTCTCAGCCTCAACTTCCTGTCCCTGGTGATAAGAATGTTTCTTCCTCCTGGTGCAGCAAGGTGCCCTTCACATGGGAATTTTATCACCTGCATTTAGAAAGAAAATGAAGGGTCAGAATGCCTTTTTTTTTGCTTCTGTTGTTTTCAAGTGCCTTTAATTCAAAATATCAGTATGCCAGAGGCATACGTATTTTGGGGTGGCATCCTCTGATCCCCTACAGTGGAAAACATTTATTTGCCCCCCATCTTAACGCACAAATGCCCTACATGAGCAGTCCCCAGTTGGCCAGTTCTGACCCAGTCGAGAATAAGGGGAGGTCACGGGAGTAGTGCTCTTCTGAGAGCCACTTACCAGCACCTGTTATTTGCTACAGGTTGTGTCGGCCCATCGCGTAGGCTGCATCATGCACGGGTTCTCACTGTGGCACGGCTCTGCTGCAGGCCCTCCACAGGTGCTTGCTTGGAAGGTGTCTGTAGATGATCAAAATAAATAATCTTGGAATAAATGATGGACATAGAAATGTTTAAAGGGTAAAGAATGTGGTTTTAGATAATTTTTTCTCATGTTTACAATTACTCGAGGATATTTCAAACTTGTGTGTGAGTGAGATGCATGGGAAATATAATTTAGCAGACATAAAAAAACCAACAAAATTATCTTTGAGTCAAATAATTATAAACATTTTCTAATGTATTTACTTAGAAAGAGGCATAGGAATGTGTGGTTCCATAGTGCAGTGGCTAGCATGTCTGCTTTACACGCAGGAGGTCCTGGGTTCAATCCCCAGTGGAACCAATGAAAGTAGGTTTTTTTCTTCCTCTTCCCTTCCCCCCTCAAAGGCAAAAGAGGGGTTTGTTTTGTTTCTACTTTAGGATTAACAATAGCCAGATCCTCCTCCATTCTGGCTCTGGGAGTTCCACAGCCACACACTGCGGGCCAATGGAGCATCAGATCTTCAACAAGAACAGTCCTGTTTTATTCTGCTCTTCCAGACACCGTAAGAGTTAGGGAGAAATAGTTTTCTGCAGCCACAATGAAGAGTACTAATTACTATAGGGTCACAGCATGCCACCAAAGCCACCCACCAACCCTTCCTCTGCTCACTTCACAGCAACATTAAATAAATATATGTATGTTACATATGTATCCTGTAAGTCTACAGCCAATATCTCTCCTGTGTTTTTTAAGGCTCACTCTCTTCTCTGTTGGGCTTTAACTACACATGCTGAGGCTTTTACATTATGGTGCAGAGCCGAGGTATCTCCCAGTACTGAGTTAGTGACGTGTGTTCCTGGATCTGGAGGAGGGAGAGGCCAGGGGGAGATTTTCATTTTTCCTGCAATTGTTTTACATTCCCTTCCATTTGCAATGGTCAAGGCATCTAAAACATTTCCAAGAATATATGAAATGAGTCAAGATTATTACTCTTTCTCATTTCTCTAAAATGAAAACGCCCCCTTTGAATTTCCTGATGATAAGAAAAAGGCAATACCAGCTATGTATGTTGAAGTCAGTCTTACAATTACCATCATAGACATTGCTCAATGTTGACATTTACATTCATGTCAATGTACATGTTGTTGGCATGGGACTGCAGTGCCCAGATCACCCCCTTGAAGGAAGACTTGCTGGCCAAGTGCAGACAGCTCCTTCTGTCTGCTCTTCCCCGGGCAGTCCAGTGACAGCAAAGTGGAGACATGAGGGCTGGTCCAGGAACATTTGGGCCCAACGTGGGACACCTCTAACAGGCCATACAGGCTTCAGAGCTCCTCATAGGTGTCTGATCTCTATCAGTTTGACACTCTCCTCTCTTCAGAGTTTGGTCCTTGATAATCATGTTCCACTTCAAACTCCATCTCAGCATCTGCTTCCACAGAACCCAGCCTGCATCATTGCATCACTATGATTTGTGTGTGTGTGTGAGTGTGTGTGTGTGTAGGGGTATCTTGTATGTTATTATTTTATTAAACAGGCTTCCTGCAAAGATAAGCAGCAAATAAATCTATGTATTGAATTACAAACCATTTTCTCTCAAATCTTTCAGTTTGTAAACCACATGCTAAAGTTAATATTATTTTTATGTCTTTTTTAGTGGGTTGCATTCCATAGCTTTTCCCCGCTGTTAACTTTATTATCAAATTTGAGATCAGCCTTGCTGTTGTTTTTAATTACTCATATACATTAATTTACACACCCTACAAAGTCCTATATTAATGGTCCCATTTCACATCTCCCACCCCTTTTATTTTATAGCCTCATGGGCTGTTTCCAAAAAATGCCAAACACACTTTGCCTAAGGCCTTTGCATTTTCAACTCTACTTTGAGTACTCTTCCCCTAGTACCTGCTGGTCTCATTTCTTTTTTTCAATCTATGTAACTCTCTGATCAGGTAATAACTTTAAAGAGCTTACCCCCACTGACTCTCTATCTAAATAGCGCCATTATGCTCTATAGCTTAACCCCTTTATTTTCTTCACGGGACATACATCACCAGATAGCACACATGTGCATATTTAAGCCTCCCCCACCTGGATTTGCCTGGAGGCAATTCTCTAGGGTACATTCAGTTTTACCTTGAGCTGCTGTAAGTTCAGGAGATGAATACACGTGTCCCAAAGAAATAGGGTCACGAATTTACCAATATGGGATTCAACAACTTCTGCGTATTTTAAGCCAATACATCAAACTCTATTTCTCATTGGCGTTAAACCCTAAAGAAAATGGAAACATCTGCTGAGTGAAGAATACGACAGGTTTGGTGTACTAGCTTTCTGAGAGGGTAAGTAGCTCTAAAAAGAGCCGTTGTTTCCCAGGGTTGTTAACCTGAATCTTTACTTGGCCTTGTGGTGGCTCTCGGTCTTCTTGGGCAGCAGCACGGCCTGGATGTTGGGCAGCACGCCGCCCTGCGCGATGGTGACTTTGCCCAGCAGCTTGTTGAGCTCCTCGTCGTTGCGGATGGCCAGCTGCAGGTGGCGCGGGATGATGCGCGTCTTCTTGTTGTCGCGGGCCGCGTTGCCCGCCAGCTCCAGGATCTCGGCCGTCAGGTACTCCAGCACCGCCGCCAGGTACACGGGCGCGCCGGCCCCCACCCGCTCGGCGTAGTTGCCCTTGCGGAGCAGGCGGTGCACGCGGCCCACGGGGAACTGCAGCCCGGCCCGCGAGGAGCGCGTCTTGGCCTTGGCGCGCGCCTTCCCGCCCTGCTTTGCGCGTCCGGGCATCTTGACTATAAGAATTTCACTGCAAGAGCTACAAAAGTGAAAGTGCAGGGCGGCAATTTTTATACAGGTTTTTGGGCGCGAAAAAGCAGATGTGTCGTTGGTTAAGATTTCAGTTGCATCTTAACACAGTGAAAATGCAAATTTGTGACTCTTGCGTTCTGATTGGGCAGAGTCAGTATTTTTGACGTTACTCTGAATAGCCACCAATCAAACACAGGGCTTCATTTATTACCTTATTTGCATGTGAGGTTCTATATGAATACTTAGTGCTCCGCTTCTTCTATTTCTCTTTTTCTGAGCACCTCTCTCGTCATCCCAACCATGCCCGAGCCCGCCAAGTCCGCGCCCGCCCCGAAGAAGGGCTCCAAGAAGGCGGTGACCAAGGCGCAGAAGAAGGACGGCAAGAAGCGCAAGCGCAGCCGCAAGGAGAGCTACTCGGTGTACGTGTACAAGGTGCTGAAGCAGGTGCACCCCGACACCGGCATCTCGTCCAAGGCCATGGGCATCATGAACTCGTTCGTCAACGACATCTTCGAGCGCATCGCGGGCGAGGCGTCGCGCCTGGCGCATTACAACAAGCGCTCGACCATCACGTCCCGGGAGATCCAGACGGCCGTGCGCCTGCTGCTGCCCGGGGAGCTGGCCAAGCACGCCGTGTCTGAGGGCACCAAGGCCGTCACCAAGTACACCAGCGCCAAGTAATGTGCTTCAGCCACTGTTAAACCCAAAGGCTCTTTTCAGAGCCACTCAGTTTTCAGTATTAAGAGCTGTAGATAATACATATTTCTTAAACACGAAATGATGCTGCAGGCTGAGTAGGGGTCTCATTAGCGTCTCTTGTGTACCTGTTATATTTTAGTATATAAAACAGTAGTAAGGGGCAAACGTAACAAAGGGGGACAAAAATATTATCAAGACTTAAGACTGCCCCAAATGTATTGTAGTGTACTTTGTAACAAAATATTAAAAAATCTGCTTTAAAATAAAAGCGGGCTACCCGCCCCCAATCATGCCGGCACCTTTCCCTTCCTCCACAAGCTCGCATTTCCTAAACTCTAAGGTCCCCAGGAGATTTGAAACCAAACCAGGGCATGTGGGTTCAATCTGAGATCACACTTCCAAAAAACTTTTTATAACCATATTGTAGTGTCTAACAAAAAGCTCCACCAAAACCAGACAAAACAATCTTATGATTCACGGCAGGTAGTTAGAGTAAGATGAAAGGGAAGGAGGGGAGAGATGGAGAGCCCAGTGGCGTGGGGAAGGAGCTCCTTCAAGCGCAAAGCGAGACCTTGGGCCTTAGGCAGTTAGAGACGCGACTTAGAACACTAACACCAAAAGCAGTGGTCATTTACAAACTGGTTAGTCTACGACTTCGGGAGGGACTCGGCTTGAAACTGGAAATCGGCAAGATTCTTTACTTAATCAAACCTTACTTGACACCCCGAACAGGGTGAGTGTGTGTAGGGGTGCTATGAACCCATCTTCCCGATGTCGGCCTGACAAGCGCAGTAGGAACGAACCAGCGTTTTGTAGTGTTTTCTGTTTAAAGTTTCTGGGTTGCCATGGACGTCGGGCGAAACGACTGCAGACTGAATTCCTCCCTACAAAGAACTTACGGATTGCTCGGCGCTCGCAGCCAGTTTCTGACAATCGCAGCCTATGGGTGAACTCTGTACAAGGAGCAAAGATGTAAGAGGTGGGGTTCCATACAAACCTTTGTCCCTCCCTACCCTGAGGGTCTTGGAATTGCTGGGACCTTCAAGGTTTGCCGCCTCAGTGCCCCCAACAAGGAAGGATAGTCCCTCACAGCTCTCCCGGAAGGAGTGGGCGGCCCTGAAAAGGGCCTTTGGTTAAGACTGGGTTGCTGGAGATACTGGCTTAGCCGCCGAAGCCGTAGAGGGTGCGGCCCTGGCGCTTGAGCGCGTAGACCACGTCCATGGCCGTGACCGTCTTGCGCTTGGCGTGCTCCGTGTAGGTGACGGCGTCCCGGATCACGTTCTCCAGGAACACCTTGAGCACCCCGCGGGTCTCCTCGTAGATGAGCCCGGAGATGCGCTTGACGCCGCCGCGCCGGGCCAGGCGCCGGATGGCGGGCTTGGTGATGCCCTGGATGTTGTCGCGCAGCACCTTGCGGTGGCGCTTGGCGCCCCCCTTTCCGAGACCCTTCCCGCCTTTACCGCGACCAGACATTCTCAGGACAGTGATGTGAAATGTGTCAAGAATGTCGGCAACTCATTCTTATAAGGAACTCTTGCGGACCAGAGTGAAAACTTAAATAGCCGTGGCAGGAAGTCTCTCGGTGTGGCCGAAAAGGACCTAAAAGCGGGAAACCTGCTCTACTGCCCCTCGTCAATTATTTTGAATCCTTAATACCCGGGGATATTGTCTTTACTTATTTAATGTGCCTCGAGATCCACCCAAATTAAACAACAAAATCATAATATTGTAGAGCACAGATTTTCAACTTTTTTTTCTCATGGCACATATAAACCAGGGTTGAAAATCACAGTTGTGAAGGATACACACACACACACACACACACACACCAAGTGAAGAAAATACTTTGTTTTTATCTCTACATTTATACATGAATTTTCTTTCTCTAACAGTATTTGCACGAGGCTATGCCATTTGAAACCTTTCTCTTCTTAATATGGAGAGATACACTCCATATACTGACCGCTCAGAAATAGAACTAGATGGGATAATAAAGTGAATAATAAAGAGAATTCAAAGATCTTCCAGATATATTGTTAAATTCTCTTCCACCAAGGTACCAATTTTCATTTTCAATAGCAGTTCCTATTATGTTTCACTAATATTGGGAAGAACCACGTAAAAAAATAATTCCAACAATCCAGATATAAAGAATTCACTTAAAAAAAAAAAATAACCAACTGGTTAATAAGTACAGCACATCAAATATGACCCCACTGATGTGAGGAACTTAATTTACCATATATTGACTATTTCACTTAAAATTAACTCTTAAGCTTTTATTATTCTGCTAATCAGTCTATGTGTAGTGCTGAAGTATTATAATAGTTTGTAATGTTGAAAAATATTTTAGTATTTGACACTAAATTCCACCTCAATTATTTTTCAATAATATTTCTATTATCACCACTCCTTTTTCTTCAAGTTACACTGATTTTATCTACTTGCAACAGAAAAATTCTTTAAGTGGTCTGGTCAAAACTATGTGAAATCTATCCATTTGTTAGGGTAAATTTATCTTTGAAATACTGTGTCCTCCTAACCTGAAAAAGGATATTACCAAACCACATATGTATCTCAGTAGAGTGTTTTTAGATAATATATAGTTTTTAAAATTAAAAAAGAAAAATTTGCCCTGGCCGGTTTAACTCAGCGGTTAGAGTGTCGGCCTACGGTCCCGAGAGACCCGGATTCGGTTCCCGCTAAGGGCACGTACCTCGGTTGCAGTTTGTCCCCGGCCCTGGTTGGTCGTGCGGGTGGCAGCCACTCGATGTGTCCCTTTCACATCGATGTTTCTCTCTCTCTCTCTCTTCCTCTCTCTCCCTCCCACTCTATCTGAACCAAAAATGGAAAAATGTCCTCAGGAGAGGATTAAAAAAAAGAAAGAAAGAAAAATTTGCATTAATTACAAGAGCAATTAATTTATTAGTGAATATGTAGAAAATTCAAATGAAGGAGGGAAGTATACTTCCTTCAGTATATATATCCAACATTAGCTAGTAGACTACATTTACAAACCCCTCACTAATGTAAAAATCAGCAACTTTCCCACCAATCAGTACCCCCCTCCCTATCTAATTTCATAAGTTTTTGCATAGAAACTAGTGATAAGGTTAACAATAGATATCTGAAAAGTTTGTAAGACTCATTGCAGTGCCATGGTTGGTTTGCTCAGTGGTTAGAGCGTCGGCCAGCGGACCAATGAGCCGCGGGTTCGATTCCAGTCAAGGTTGCGGTTCGTGGTAGTATCATGCGGGAGGCAACCAGTAAATGTGGCTGTATCGCATCCATGTTTTTCTCTGTCTCTCTCTCCCTCCCTTTCACTCTGTATGATGATAAATGGTAAAATATCCTCAGGTGAGGAATAGAAAACAAAACAAAACAAAACTCTTTGTAGTTCCTGAAATTAATAGCCGAAGGTGTGGAATTTTCTATAAACACATTATTTTATAAAAATGTCATGCTACTCTGGCTGTTTTCTAACATACTGAAAAACTTCATATACTAAGATAAACTTAATTAAAATCAAGGTATTGTTCTTTAGATTGTTTCACAGTTGAAAGGGAGCAGAATATGCCACCCCTAATTATGCCTCTTTGGCATAAGGATTATTTTGAGTTGATTATTTTTGAGAAATAGCACACAAGAGAGACTCACTGAAAAAGGTAGAAGTTCCCTTTTTGTCAGGGACATTTACATTTATATTTATAAAGGACATTTACATTTATAAAAGAAATCTCCATCTGTCAGTCTCCTTCCTAGTGCCAGGAACAGCATCACTACTCTGAATCACAGTTCCCTTCTGTGGAGAGGGCTTCTCCTTAATCTGCAAAACAAAACTTACCCTCTTCCAGGTAACCTCTCCTAACTGCCCTCCCTCTATCCACCCACCCCTATCTTTTGTCTTTAAGTGAAGATGGTAAATAAAGTGGTGGCTTCGGCTTTTTTGGGGAGTTTACCCAGTTTTCCTGAGTATCTGTCACATATACATTGGTATACATGTTCATAAAATTCTGTGTTGTTTTTTTATTTTCTCTCATTAATCAATCTTTATTATAGGGAATCTCACTTTAAAGATCAGAACGGTACAGGGAAAATTATTTTCTCCTCTCCCACACAGTACACATCGAATCTGGTAGCAAACTCTATTACTTACAGCTGCAAAATACATCCAATACTTACCATTTGTCTGCTGTTTCCAATGAGGTCAAGCCACAGTTCTCATGTCTATCCTTCTAAAGTTTGTATTCACTATACAGTTGTTTTAATGAACAGTCAAAGAAATGTAAATCAGGTTATACCATTTCTCTGTCCAAAACTCAGAGAATGGACATTTAAAATGATTTGCAAAACTCAGCATGACCTATGAAACCCTAAATCATCCTAACCTCTGCCTGTCTCTGAACTCGGTTCTGGATCTCACTAAGCATTACACACACACAAGGGCCTCGGTATTTGTATTATCTTCTTTGCTTAGAACATTACCTAAAAGTGCAACATAATTTACTACTGTACTTGGTTTTATATAAATCTGCTCAAGTACAATCTACTCAGAATTTTTCCAGAGTCATGGTAGTGACTCTACCTGGATCCTCACAACGCCACCTTATTTAGAAACAAGGGCTTTGCAGATGTAATTATTAAGGATCTTGGGATGAAAACATCTTGGATATAGAGTTGTGCCTGAATTGAACGACTGCAGTCATCATGTAGGAAGAGGAGAGGACAGACACACAGGCAAGGAGGGTGTGAAGGAGGTAGAGGCTGGAGGCATTAGGCAAGCCAAGGAAAGCACAGAAATGCTGGCAACCATCAGCAGCTGGAAGAGTCACCTGGAGATATCTCCCTCAAAGGTGCTAGAACTAGCCAACCCTGGTAGCACTGATCTGAGACCTCTGGCCTCCAAAACTGTGAGGGCATCTATTACTGAATAATGGCATCAAGTTTGTGGTAAATTGTTACAGGCAGCCCCAGTAAATTAAGTGACAAAGCAAAACACTCCCGGCTCTCCTGCCACTCTAGTCCTTGGAACTGATTTAGTTTTCCTCATGGTACTGATCACTGTTGTAGCTCACTCTCCTTAGAATCCAACTTGTCTTTGAGTTGCCCTAATTAACAACCTCAGAGACAGCAAGATGAACAATGGGGAATGTTATAGATGGCTTTAGCCCCATAAAAATTAACCAGAGTTTGACCTTCACTGGGAATTTGAAAAGCAACATCCTTCAGGAAAAGGGAGGACAGAAATGGCCCCAAGGCCAGAGTGTCCTGCATGCTCTGTAAAGAAACTGATAGGGAGAAACTGAAGCTCCCTTTACCCCATAAAACTGTAACTGTTAAACATGTGTGTATTGCACCTGACTGACCGCTGATAATCCATCTCGAATTTGTTAGTTTTTAAAACTTGGATAATGGAATGAATAGCAGGATAGATGTATGCTGACCCAGTTCACCCAGTTCCCTTTCGCCTCAGCTCCCTCCCACCTCCGTTCCCTCCTGCTTATCGCTAACTGCCTCGGCTTCTGTATAAGCAGTTTGCTTGCTCTGCTAAACTCTTGAATGACCCCTGCCCTCTAATAAGCAACCCTCCCCCTGAGCTCGGGGCTGCAGTTCTCCTCTGTGTAGGTTGGCTGCAGTCCCTGCGCAGGTAATAAAGCATCCCCAAAAACTGAAAAATTGAGTCTCAGTGTGGTCGATCTCCTGGGTTACAACAACCACAACCTAAAATTTAGCTCCCCCCGCCTCCTTTGGGCACCACTTGAGTGTCTATCATTGCTATATATTGCTGGCAGCATTTTTTTTTATTGCAAGAATTTATATCAGAATGGAAAGTAAGGTGTTTTTAATTTACAAGTTAACTTATACAGATACATATGAACACAGATATACCATACAATTTCCCTAATGTTTTGCTTTCAACGATGGAGACGGAGAACTGTGACTTGGTTTCATCTATGACTCATTTTCCTTCTCACCCTGTACAACAAATGCTATTCTCTTTACTAGAAAATAGGGTGGCCCTGAAGTCTCAGACTGCTGAACACTTCATCCTGAGGCTTTAACCTGGAAGGCCGGTCGCCTTAGTTACCTGATACAAAACAAGTGTGCGTTTTATTCGGTTGACGCCAACCTTTGTTTTTCAATTAAATGTATTGTTAGTGGCTTGCTTCTGGGGTGTTTATGTACTGACGTGTTTACACCGTAAGGGTCAGTTTCCAGTAGCTGCTACAAAACGGAAAATGCAAGCTCTTTTATTGAAAACGTGGGTGGCTCTGAAAAGAGCCTTTGGTTGGGACTGAGAAAGATTCTAATGTTCCAGCTCATTTGCCCTTGGCCTTGTGGTGGCTCTCGGTCTTCTTGGGCAGCAGCACGGCCTGGATGTTGGGCAGCACGCCGCCCTGCGCGATGGTGACTTTGCCCAGCAGCTTGTTGAGCTCCTCGTCGTTGCGGATGGCCAGCTGCAGGTGGCGCGGGATGATGCGCGTCTTCTTGTTGTCGCGGGCCGCGTTGCCCGCCAGCTCCAGGATCTCGGCCGTCAGGTACTCCAGCACCGCCGCCAGGTACACGGGCGCGCCGGCCCCCACCCGCTCGGCGTAGTTGCCCTTGCGGAGCAGGCGGTGCACGCGGCCCACGGGGAACTGCAGCCCGGCCCGCGAGGAGCGCGTCTTGGCCTTGGCGCGCGCCTTCCCGCCCTGCTTTCCGCGTCCGGACATGACGGATAGGAAACCTTCGCTGTGACTTGGGTCTGAGTTAAGTCACCCTGAGCTACCCTCTTTATAGTCGTTCCTGGGCGCGAAAGTGAATCTGTGCCATTGGCGAAAAGTTACAGCCCTTTCACTTGAACCAATGGGATTCTGGCTCTGAAATACCCTTGTTTTGACTGGACAACACTCATGTGACGTTTCCAGGAGTCACCACCAGTCAGACACGACTTTACTCACCGCCTCCTTTGAGAGTCTGTGAACCGAGAGAGCACTCACGGTCGCGCGCTCGTTCCTCCTGTTCTAGCTGAACCTCCGGCTGTTCCTCCCGACCATGCCCGAGCCCGCCAAGTCCGCGCCCGCCCCGAAGAAGGGCTCCAAGAAGGCGGTGACCAAGGCGCAGAAGAAGGACGGCAAGAAGCGCAAGCGCAGCCGCAAGGAGAGCTACTCGGTGTACGTGTACAAGGTGCTGAAGCAGGTGCACCCCGACACCGGCATCTCGTCCAAGGCCATGGGCATCATGAACTCGTTCGTCAACGACATCTTCGAGCGCATCGCGGGCGAGGCGTCGCGCCTGGCGCATTACAACAAGCGCTCGACCATCACGTCCCGGGAGATCCAGACGGCCGTGCGCCTGCTGCTGCCCGGGGAGCTGGCCAAGCACGCCGTGTCCGAGGGCACCAAGGCCGTCACCAAGTACACCAGCGCCAGATAAGTGCCTGTTGCGGGCACCTCTTGACCTCTGTTCTCAGAGTGCTGGTGCTAGTTATCCTGTCTGTGCCTTGTAGCTCGTTTAATCTACGAAATCGGGCAACAATCTTTTGAGAACTTACCCTGTTAAGGTAAGCTCGACAAACGACAAAAACAAAGTTACCTGACTCTCTCAAAGGTGTGGAACTCTTTTGTATAAGAACGCCCTTAGCAAAGTAGTGTAAATGCTGTCCATTTTTTATTTAACCCAAGTATTTTGGTGGGGACAAAAATTATCTGTTGATTAGCCTAGGTAGTTGAAGTCTATATTTATGAGACCATTGCTTAAAAGGTATACATTATGTAAACACAGTAATAAATTCTATATTTCATTCCATTTAATCTTGCCCCATCTTGCGTGGGCCCACCCCTTTTTCGGCCTGTCTACAGGAGACTCCAAAGCACGTTTAGTGTGTGGAAGCATAGAGCCTCCAGCTCAGTCCTTAAGGGAGTTCTGTGCCTTTCCTCCCAAATACCAACTGGAAATCATAGCACAGACATGCCCTCTGACAAGCCTGGCCAGCCCTTCCAGCCTTGGGGTAAAAAACTAAGCTCCAAGCTCAAGTCATTTACTTGGTCATGGTAATAAGTTTCTTTTCGCTTTTAACAGCAACCTCAGACCAACTGTTTGAAGAGAGTTTTTCTTGTTAACAATTTAGCTTATCTTTCCGGTTCCCCTTAAAAAAAAAAGAACGCCCTTAGCCTTTCAGTGTCACTTAGCAATTTCCTACATTTAAAGGGGCTCTGCCACCGTTTCTCAGCGTTAACGAGCGATGGAAAGGAAGATATTAAGCCCTAAGCAAATTAAGTGCGCCGGCTCCCCTACCGGGGAGAGGTGGACTAGCGTCCGTGGCCGGGGTTCCGCGGGCCCATTCTCAGCCCGCATTGGTCCCGCCATCCTGGAAGCTGCCTCCTGGAATGTGGGTGGAGCCCAGCCCAGCCCCGCACAGCCCCACAGCTTGAAAAGTACTGTTATTCTTTCCTTTTCTGTAGCGTTGTATCCCATTCGGGAGTGAGATTTATTTCCGCTGCAATTTCATTGGAGGGAAAGTTAGTGAAGGATGTAACTGCCAGTCTGAGAAATAATAATGCTCTATTTGTTAACTGGGGAAACTGCTTTCCCTTTGCCATGTTTCCATATACTAAACATTACAAGACAAAACACGAATACTTAGGGTCCAATGAAGGCAAAGGAAACTTGGGAGCATTTGTCTCAGGCACTTCTGGAATAAAAATCATTTTCTGTTTTAGAGTTCCTTCGGTCAGTAAACTGCTGAAAGACCAGAAGAATAAATTATATTTATGATATTAAAAGGAAATATTTGAAATGAAAAGTTAGAAAAATAAATGGCAAATTTAGCTAGTCAAAGGATAAGATTCTAATTTCTAGGGAAAAAACGTAGATGAAAAGGGATTTCCCTCACGGGGTAGTTCGATCATAAATTCCTAACTGGCTGCATTACATTAGGTAGTCATGCCCAGACCTATAATTCTTCAGTAGAAGGCTTATTTTTACCTTAAATCTTATCCATTGTTTCTAAGAATCTGGTTAACACACCTTTGGAAACGTTCCTTTTCCAATCCCTCCTATATTTAATTTGATGTACATGAAGTATGTCTAGAAGTATACCAAACTAAACTAAGAATGGTTACCTGTTTTGAGAGAAACCAGGTAAACGAAGGTATAGTAGGTAGAATTTCATTTTATATCTTTCTGTTTTCTGGTTTGTTAGACATGTAAATATATCTTTTAAATGAGTAAATAAATTAAGTTGAAAAACCACTTGTGATTTTTGTCCAGACATCTTTTGTCAGTGCCCTGATATGCCCCACAATGCAACCAGCTGCTTTGTTATCACAGAACCAATCTGGTTCTGCATCCATTTAAACCAGGAATTTGGTTCTGATAATGCCATTTTGAAGAATATCTGATGATACTTTTTTTTTACACGTTTATAATGCAAAAATCTTAAAATTGATTCACAAAACTCTCTACCATATCTTTGTTATTGCTCCTGGACACATTTGAGGCTTTTAATCTCCAAACTAAACGATTATCTGTGCCTGCTTTTTGGCTTTATTCTACCATGTCCACACAGCTTTTGCATCACTTAGTTACGTTATTATGTTATACTGTGATTTATTTGAGTGCTTATTTTCCTCACATTACTGTGGGTGCTTGATGGCAAGGACTATATTATTCATTTTAGTTTCACAGTCTGTATAACCTTTTCCCCAAGAATCTAGCATGGAGAACACAAAAAGGCACTTTCTGAATTGGTAACTGAGTGAACAACAAGGGTTATAGAACCTGGAAGAAATTAAGAGCCTCATTTAAAATTTAATGAAGTGGCAGGTTCAGGAGAAGGGTGTCAAGGGGGGGACATCTGTAACATACATAAATTAATAAAAAATAAAATGTAATCATGAAGAATATTAAGAATAGGACAGACATATCTAGATTAATAAGGTGTTGTGTGATTGGTGGCACCAAACGGTTAATGATAACTTGAAATTGTGTTCAATAAATAAGTGCTATCCTGTGCTTCCCTCTTAAAAATTAGACTTAAGCCCAGCTGGTGTGGCTCAGTGGATTGAGTGTCGTTTCATGGACTGAGAGGTCCCATTTCCATTTCCGGTCAGCGCACATACTTAGGTTTTGGGCTGGATCCCCAGTAGTGGGTGTGTGGGAGGCAGCCCATAGATGTTTCCCTCATCATCTGTGTTTCTTTCTCCTTTCCTCTCTCTAAAAAATTATATTATAAAAACTAGAATTGACAAGAAATTTAAATCGACTCTAGAAACTGAAGCAGAAAATAATTTAAAACAGAAGTGATTAAATGGCAGCACATCTAGAGGAGAGGCAGGAAGGGGACCACGCTGACACTGCTGGAACCCTACCAGCTACCTCCCACTTCTCGGGTATTGATACTTGTTACCAGTACAATGGAAGTAGTAAGATGAATTCTGATGAACTCTGCATCAACTGTGGCTGTGAAATCTTCCATGGGATGTGAAAAAGTAATGGCCGAAACATCTCAAGTTTGGTGAAAGACATAAACCTCCAGATTAAGAAATTCAGAGAACAGGAAACTGTTTATACCAAGGCCAATCTTGATCAAGTTCCTAAAAATTAAAACGTAATAAGAAAAAAATTGGCCAAAGAGAAACAACAGTTTACCTACAAAGAAACAAAAATTCTCATATGACAGACATCTCATAAGAAATCATGGACTTGAAACAAAACTCCATTTATTACTTGATCCCATGAAAATCCCTACTCTGACTGACACTAGAGCTCTAGGAATTACTGCCCATTCAGATTCAATGTCCATGAATCTCTGAAAATCCTGTTCTCCCAGGAGGGTCTGTAGGTCATAAAGAAGACACCAGGGTGCCAGTGGAAATGACCCAAAGAACATCCGTAGGGACACTCTCGTCAGGAGTTCCCAATGAGCTGCAGCGACTGTACAGTGCCCCTAGCCCACCCTCACTCCGGCTGTCCCCTCAGAAATTCTCCATAGCGGTGTCCCACTGCTACCCCGGCGCCCCCGGGGCCCTCCGGGAGCACTCAGTGACTTGTGTTGGATTTAAACCTCATGCCGGCCTCAGGACCACCTCGTCCCGCCCAACACCACCAGGGGTCAGTCATCCCCTTCAAGATGTAATTGTTGAAGAAATGTGAGGATGAGTGAATGAATTGAAATATATACCATAAAGGATGAATCATTAATGGAAGATAAAGTTCTCTTCGTTACTCTTTGGGGCAGCCATAAACAAGTTTGCAGAGGGAAATGACAAGATTAAGAATCATTTGGATTGTGAAGGCAAAGGAAGAATGAAAGGAACATAACAATTGGCTGGGACCACCATCTCTAGGATTGTTTTGGACAATCTGATTTACTCCAGTATTAGTGGTCACACTGCAAAAAGAAACAATAAATGTGAAAACAAAATTGGTCAGTTGCTAACAATAGTTATAGAGTTCAAAGCCTTTGCCTAAATGACTCTCCTAACTATGAATTGGTTGAAATATGTTCCATTGGGTAAAATGAATAGGCAATGCAAGAACGCTCAGGACGGTCAAACGTTTCAAGGGGGTATTACCCAGAGAATTTTTTAAATACCTTTGGGAAGATTTACAAACCAAAAGCCACACACCCGTTTCAAGGGGGTATTACCCAGAGAATTTTTAAAGTACCTTTGGGAAGATTTACAAACCAAAAGCCACACACCCGACGAGGGTGGGACTCGAACCCACGCGTGCAAAGCACAATGGATTAGCAGTCCATCGCCTTAACCACTCGGCCACCTCGTCCCTATGTTCCTATGCCTTGGAGCGGTTCATCTTTGAATTTATTCCTGGAAACTCAGGCCACTCCCTGCTGGACAGGTCCTAGGACTTGGCCTGGAGAGTCTGGAAAAATAGTGCTAATAAACTTGCTCCACGCCAGATGCCACAAACCTTCAGTTTATTAAAAAACACAACAGGCATATCTTGTTTTATTGTTCTGCACTTTATTATGCATGGAAGATACTACATTTTGACGTTTTCACGCCTGCTAACACAACATCTATTCTGCAGCCTCATGTAACAAGGAGTAATTTCAACCATTCAAGTCCTATTACTTAAAAACATTTTGTACGGCTATTCCTGTATTAGAGAGCAGGCAGCATTTTCAATCATGTTATCAGAATGTTTACAAAGTAAGAGACGTTAGCTTCTAGCCCTTTGGGTAACAGATGTCAAATTTATATATTTTAAACTTCACATTTTGAAAATTTTCAAACAGATGGACATTGACATAATTAGATAATAAACTCCCATGTAATCAATTTACAGTCGTCAACATTTTGCCACTCTTGTTTATCTTTTCACTATTTTTTCATGTTAGGAGGGAAGGTTGGGGTTAGGAGAGACTATTTTAAAGTAAAACCTATAGCTATCATATCATCCTAAATTCTTCTTAGAGATAATAACTCTTTATTTTATCTTTATTTACATAAGTGCTATACCATTATCACATTCAGCAAATGTAGCAGCAATCTCTTATGAGAAGTTACCTGGCCAAAAAGTAAGTGGCAAAACTAGTATTTGAATGAAGGTTCTTTGTCTCCAACTTCTCCTTGACTCCTTTTTCAAGCCATTTTAAACAAAGATCAGTTATCTCATCTTAAGAGAGCATGTGCCTTGAAGTAAATGTGGAGTAATTAATTAATTAATTATGTTTTTAATGTGTGGATTGAGAGGTTGTATAAAAGAGAGTAAGTGACCAATGTTGACAGTCTAGACTTTGCTTGTAAATATGGTTATAGTTTCCCTTCATTTCTTTATTGACATCAGCATAAATCTATTTGCCCATCTACTTTGTTTTTCTGGGTCAGTTCAAAGCTCAGGAGAAACTATGGGGCTCCCACCAACCTTGAGACTTAAACATATTGCCTTGAAGTTTCTACTCTTCCTAAGACTCCTAGCTGTTTTCCTTGTGTACACGATTGTCAAAACCGATCTTTACCTTGTTGAGTTACCTCCAATTTCCTGCCCTGAATATTCTTTCTCTCCCTAGTCAGTGGCATTACCATGCTATCCTCTTTCAGTGGTACAACTGATTGACACACAAACCTAAAATGCTAAGCGAGTAGCAATGCATTACTGTTGCATGCTCCTACATCCTAGCCAATCCTGGAAATATGTGGGTATGGTATATACCCAACACAAATGGTCAGTTGAGGTAAACTGACAGGTAGGCCAACTCTTTGTCCTAATATGAGCCTCTTGTCCCTGGATCATTTATTCACTCATCCATTTCACAAATATTTATTAACAATTGCCTCGTAACAGGCAATGTTGTAGGTGCTCAGAATATATAATTGAATAGACCAGACAAAGTTAAGCCTTGCCTTCCCACAGCCTACATTTAATAAACATCTAAATAGAGGTTCTTAGCGACCCTCTGCTTTTTTGTCTCATTTTTATTCATTTATTTGTTAATTCCTTCATGCTGAGTGTTCACCATTGGCCAACCAGTGTGTTAGATAGTAAGGTTGGGGTCAGAAGACATTATATATCTTAACATTCTAGTCAAGGATGTGAAGGATGTAGCATGACTGGTGTCTACCTACATCTTCCCAGTTATTTCCTTGATTATCCCTGTCCAGTGTCCTTCAATCCTGTACAGGAATACGGTACATCTGGTATTAGAAGTTAGAGCCGAGGACACAAGCCATAACTTTTGAAGCACACTTGTGCCCAGGAAAACAAAAGCATTGCTGGGTGGAGGGGCAATGGGACATGACACATTTTTTAAAAACAGGCAACAGGGTAGGATCTCACAGTTTTGTTGGGAGGCAGAGTTCACTTACTTATGATGTCACTACATGTTCCTGTTAATGGAACCAATGGAACAGGAAGGGACCACAACGTTCTACTCTGGAAGAGAAGGCCAGGATGGGCCTCCACGTAAAAAGGCGCCATAAAAAACACAGTGAATCAAAAGATGGAAGCTGAAACAGAAAGAATCAAACAAGAAATAAGGGAAAAGGTTAGCTGGGACCATGAACAGTAGAAGAAGGGGAACGGGAAATTTGAGGGTAATGAGGAGGGGGGAGGCATGCTGAGGCTGCAGAGGATCCAAAAATATTACTTCTTTTGACATCACCAAGGCATGTACTTGGAATGTGTTCTATTTTTTTCCTCTTTCTGTTAAGAGATACTCACTGAGCTCCTACTACATGTAAAGACTGTGCTAAATATGGTGGGAAATTAAGGAGGCAGGGCTCTTGTCTTCTAGGGACGTCTAATCTAGGTGGTGGGACAGGAGACGCAGGAAAAGCGTAGTAACAATACAGGATGTGGATGATTATGCTCGAGTAGTGTTTCAGACTAGATGCAATACCAAAGAGGAAGATTTCAGTCCTGGCTGGTGAGGGACCCAGGTCAGTCTGTGGCCTGGAGAGGCACTGGTTAGGTGATGAGTGTGAGAAAGGACAAGAGGATTGGACTTGTGTGGGGGAAAATCCCAGAGGAACTGAGGGAGCCTAACCCATTTACTGCCTCCTCTTTTTCTAGTCAGCACCCTTTAGTGTGAAATGTGGGATATCTAGACCGTATCGCATTCCTATCCTCGCCTGCACTTTCACGGGTTCCTCCCTCCTGTGGTGGGCCTTCAGCTTGTCCACCTGGGTGAAGATAGAAGTCCCAGGTGGCTCCCAGGTCCTATTCAGTGCTCTGTTTGCGATCGGCAGTGGTGAGGTCACATGCTGGGTTCCTCTATCCAAATCAGGTTAAGTTCTGGCCTTGAAAGGGAGGGTCCTGCTCCCACCCTGTCCCTTCCTGGAACTGCCAGCCTCTTTTTCTGCTTCAGCTCACATGCACATAGCAGGATTACTGCCCTCAGTAACAGTGGCTCATTTCAGGAAGAGCCAGAGGGTCAGGCCACTCTAGGGTCACCAGCCCCGCCAGAATCACTGTCCTAGACCTTTTTGCAGCTGACCTTCCCTGCGGCCCTAAGCATCTCACCAGCTGCCCCGGTTCCTTCCTTATAGCTCCGAACTGCTTCCTCAGTATTCTGGGGACTCAGACCCAGGCAAGATGGGGCCCTAGAGGGAGCTGCTGGCCTTTCTCTCCTCCTCTCCTTAATTCAGACTGCTTCATATTTGGTCGAATTTTCATGATCAGCGCCCTTCTTCTTTCCTTCTTCCTGAACATTATACTCCTGGCCTTTCCTCAATCCTTTCCTGATACCTGGAAACAGTACTTTGTCTTCACAATCACCTTCTTTATTATAGGTAAGAGATGGGAGAGAGAGAGGGTTCCCTTCGTTGTCCTGGTTCTGGGTTGGGGTAATGTTCCCGTGGGCACAGCTTCTTAGAAACTGTTAAAAGACTGCTACGGTAAAAGATAATTCAATGACAATAAAAAGAACCAGAGTAGAGGAGCTGAAAAGACAATTTAAGGTCTTGGGAATTCGCTCAAAGGCTATACACTAAACTAATCAGGCTGCTCTTTGTCCTTCTTGTTTCCTGAGTAACAGGTATCTGTGCGTTACTTGCACTACTGCTGCACTCTCTGCATATTCTGAAAGTAACTAACACATTCAAGGAAGCAAAAATCACCTTTCTCTACCCTTCTTTCATCCTTTCATTCAGCATCACACTGTTTTTCTTCTCTGGTGAGTGTTCTTTGGAGCTATGTGAGTTCTTGGGGTAGGTCCTGAATCCAGAACAACCATGCCCATGGGTTTCAACTCTCTCCCTGGAGTACATTAGTTTCTGGGTATAGATTAAGTGTAATGATGTCTCATTTGCTCGTTGCAGCTGCTCCTACTCTATGTTATAATTTTGCCTTCATAGAAGAATAAAATCCACTTCTGTATATTCAGTAAGAACCAGGTCTGGGAAATGAGAACTTCTAGGATAGAATGTAGTAGAACGAGGGGTGGGTGGGGTAGAGAAATGAGATGACAGAGTAATCTGCAGTTCAGGTCCCTAGACCCCACACATTTCTTAAGCCTGTTGAAAAACTGAGAATTTCTTAACAAACATCAAGTGTATTGTCATTTTCATCTTCAACAACATCGTTTTTTCCTCAGGGAGTCTCTGCTTCTTCAGCTCCCACCACTGTTGGTTTCTACAGAGGCCGATCCAAGTGAAACCCAAGCAAACATCTGTGGCCAATGGGAGCCCAGTGACAGTCGCCTGGAGTAAATCGGGTGGAGATAGCTAGCCCAACCTTAGCAGCAAGAAGGCCAATAGTAGAAACATGATGTCTAGCCTGTAACTCAAGATTTGACATCTACACACACTTTCTTGTTTAATGACCGTGTAAAACCGAAAAGAGTGGCTGGTTTCGAACCATTGTTCAGATGAGGATTAGGATTCCAGGAGCTTGGGTTTTCGAGAGAGAAGACATGGTTGGGGTGGGAAGCAATGAGTCTGCTTTGGGTGTTGGGGGCCTGGAACAGATCCCTCACCTTGAACCTGACCAAGGCCCGCCCACACTCTCACGTGTTTCCTGTGTCCTGAAGTGGTTTTCTAACAGTAACAAAGCTCTTTCTCCACCTATGAAGACTGAGTTTTGATATAAATTCTCTGCCCTCTGGTAATGTCATGAGTGGAATCTTTTCACTGTCGTATTATTCAGGACTGTGTTGCAGGGAACAAAACCTCATCCAAACTGACTTAACTGCCACCGAAGAGTGAACTTCCTGGACAGTCACGAGGGTGGACGCAAAGGCTCTGGCAGCATCAGGCCACACGGGACACTAGGGGCAGAGCCCAGAGCTCTTTCCTTCAGGATATATATATATATATTATTTTTTTTTACCATGCAGTGAAGTTAATGGAATTTCCTGATCCATAAATGCAAACACTATCACAAATCCCCCTTGCTCATCCTTTTCAAATCTTGTCCCTTCCACCTCAGCCAGACCTCTGCTCCCGTCTGAGCTCTCCTCATACCCAAGGGCCAGCCAGGCCTTGGTCACACCTGCCAGCCCAGGGGGCTCCAGGTGTGGCCTCCCCACTGCATTCTATTTCTATCATGCTGCCGACCCCAACTTCTCAGTACACAGAGCTGAGAGTGTTCGCCTTACCTTCAGGATACATTCCTTATCTTCATAAATAAAGTTCTTTACAATTTGATATCAACCTATCTTTAAAAATGTTGTAATATTTTTATTGTAATTCATATCATACACGTGAAAAAAAAGTATTAAAATGTATGTATGCAGTTGGAAGGATAATAAAGAAACCACCACATCTAGAAAAAAATAGTATTGCCAGTATATCAGAGGCTCCTGGAGAATCCCCCCAGCCCTCCTGCCCATTCCTGCCCCTTCAGTCCCCTCCAGGCCAGCTCACGCTGTTCTGCCTCTTGGAACTGCATTCCTTCAAATCTGCCAGGCACCTGTTGTATATTTCAGTGCTGCACATTCTGAATCCCGTAGCCCTATTTCCTTCTCCAGAGGTGAAATTTTTTCTATTTCAAGATGAAGCTCAAATGTGGTGTCAGAGAGATCCCTGACTCCCGCCCACATTAACTGACCTACTTCTGTGCTACCCACAGGTTTCCTTCATTCCTATTTTATTGAAACTGTGAGTTCAGATTTGTCTCTCTGGCTAGATGTTTGTTCCCTGAGGAATGAGGATTAAGTTTTACCTTTGAGTCCTTTGGGTTTCACATTTTGCTTAGTAAATAGATGTTTAATAAAATACCCTTTGAGTTATTGAGGTAAAGCTCTAGAAGATTGGGAAGGACTGAACATTGCTGTCAATAGTGATCACTTTACTGACAGCCCAAATATTTGTCAGGACTTTCCTGCAATACATCCCTTAATCTCCAACAAACCTGCAAAGTGGGCATCGTCCCATTTTGCAGATAAGGTAACGGATAACTCAAAAGTTAAGTGATTTTTACAAATTTACCTACTTAGTAAAGGGCAGAGTTGAGATTTTAACCAGGGACTCTCTAAGTGTGCGCTTTCTTCCCATATCAAGTTTCTTCTTTGTGAACAATGACAAGAATAGAGAGCAAAAGTTAAGACAGAAAACATTAACTATGGTTATGCTGGAGATAATTAAAAATCAATGGTTGTTAAAGAAGCTGTGAAAGTAAGCCTGGGAACCAGTGAGAGTTCTATGTTCTATAGACAAATTGAGGCAGCACAAATTCCTGTTTTCCAGAGGAAGGAATGTGACCCCTGTCCTGTCCCGGAGAGGTAGATGAAGGTGGCTGATTTGGGTGCAGCCTCAGGTCTCTGCACTGCGATGCACGTCAGCCCCTGACTGCAGAATCACAAAGGACAGTGTCGTTGTACTCTGCAGTCGTGCAGATTTGTGATGTGTGGCACTATGAAGAGCCAACCGTATACAATTCTGATTTATAGGTCAATATATAACCATGTACAATTAATGTCATGTACTGAATACAAGTACTAAATACAAGCTATAGGTCAAATTAGTTCTACCATGGTTGGATCTGGAAATCTGGCTATGGTCTAATGTGGATTAATGTAAGGAACAGAGCTCTCAGCTTTCAAAGTGCTTAAAAATACTTATTTTATTTCAAATTTGGGGATAGAGTCGGGGATAGTAGCTATACCACCACCAATCATTGATACCATGGCCCCCATCCCTCCTTTCCAACAGAAAAACAATTTTGTTCACAGAACTTTCTGTATCCTGCCTTGGCTTTGGAGGAGGTGGGCCTCATTCTCAGCTCCAGAGGAAGAATTATGATTGACCTCATTAATCTCAATGGTCCCAGTCTTGGCAGTAATTGGATTAGGTGAGAGTATGTGGTACAAATGTAGCCGATGTGAGGGGAAGTCTCACACTATGAGGGAACATGTAGGAGAAATTCTCCTCAACAAGAGTTAGAAGACAGAGGTCTGTTTGTTTTCCTTCTGGCCTTTATCTGGAGACTGTGAGAGTTTGAGGTTCTGCAGGGAAACCAGCTGGATTTTGAGATCTGTACGTTGAGAATGACAGCATGCAAAGATTCAAAATAAAATCTGGACCCTGGCTGGTTTGGGTCAGTGGTTAGAGCGTCTACCAATGACTCAAGGGTTCGATTCCGGTCAAGAACACGTACCTCAGTTGCAGTTGCCCCCAGCCCTAGGCAGGGTTGTGCGAGAGGCAACCAGTCGATGTGTCCCTCTCACGTCGATGTTTCTCTCTCTCTCCCTCACTCCCACTCTATCTGAAGATAAATAGAAAAAAAAAATCCTCGGGTGACGATGAAAAAAATACAATAATAATAATAACAAATAAAATTAAATCTGGGTCCTGATGGCACCATGGAGCCCCTGAATTAACCAGACATCCGCTTCCCTACACTCTGGACTTGTTAGGTGTGATAATCTTTGGCTGGAGATCTTATTAAGTCTTGTGCAATTGTGTTCTAAATCCTCTTGATCACTGGCATTATGAAAAAACTCAAAACCAACCACATAAATGGTATGAAAAATGGTCTGGTGCACGTGCTTCCCTGAGCCTTTTCTTTCACATCAACAGACTAGATGTTCTCTTCACTTAGGAGGCCTACTTCTCAGCTCTTGGTCCAGCCCAACCCAGCTATGCCGTTTGACATTGCTGGCTGTAGACTTAATGGACACATGCCCAACCCCAGCCCTTGAGCCAAGCTGTGTTTAGAAACTAGAATACCCCCCTGTACACAGCACTCCACCGCTCTTGCATTTAACGTATGGTGGGTGGAACCACAGACCTGTGATTCTACCTCTACCAAAGTCAAACTTCTATCCTGCTGCTGGTAGGCATTTGTATCAACTCTTCATTCATGCATGCAGACTTGTAATGTAAAATCAGTTACTGTAGACACTGAGAGTGCAGCCCTGGAGGAATATGCAGTTGAGTGGGGAAGAGGGCTGAGCACACAGCTGTTTACAACATCATGTAATAAATACCACATTGAGGGTTGTCTCTGCATCCTAAAAGTACAGGAAAGAACACAAGGCAAACTGGGGAAAAACTAACACCCTGATTAGGTTTGCAAATGTCTCTGTTATTCCATTTGTTAGGCTGATCCCTGATCCCTGATCTCCAGGCAACTTGCCCCAAATTCGACACAGTCCTGGAAATTGTAAAACACATTACCCAGACTGAAGAAGCTGAGCAAAGTTTAAAGATGACAAACCCAAAGAAATCTACACCCAGGCACATCACACTCAAACATCTGAAAAGAAAAGAAAAAATTCTGAAAGCTGCCAGGGGAAAATGAAAAGAAAACTACAATTTGTATGTTTGGGGAGTTCCTACCAGAAACCATAGACACCGGAAAGAAATGAAAGAATATTTTTTAAATGCTGGAAAAAAAAAATGCTAAGGCTTATTTCTGGTCTCTGTTCTATTCCATTGGTCTGTGTGCCTGTGGATATTTACGACTTCTCTCTCAAATCACCACACACAATGTCTTCACAAATATTGTGGATTCTCTCTTTACAGCCTCTCTAGAATCTTTCTCTTTTTGTCCTTCATCTGTTCCTTCATTCTCTCAACAATGTTTATGGGGAGATATTCTGGGCCAGGCAGTGTAGTGGAGGTAGGAGCTGGAGACACTCATGCTGTGTGCCTCAGGGGCTGGCAGGATAAATGTGAATAAATATCAATATTTTAATAACTTTATAACTTGTTTCCCTTTCTCTCCAATACCAGTTCCCATTTTCAAGGTCTCTGACATTCAAAACTAAAACCCTTTTTCTAAATGTAAAATTGATTATATAAAGTGTTTGCCTGGATTTTTTTTTTTCATGTGTTTTAAGCCTCAACAATGTTTTCTGGTCATATCTCCAAGTGTCAAGGCTTTTCAATCACTACTTCTCTCCCTGTATATTTTATGGCAAGTATACATACACACTCAGGCACCATACAATCCAGTGAGACAGGTACATTTCCTCATAGAGGAATTCCTACACCTCTGACTATCCCTCCCACCTGTGTGTGTTCCGCCTCACCTGCTCCCTTAAGTCCATGTTTTTTATTCCTTCACTCTAATGCGATCTTGTCTCTTAATCCTCATGATTTTTGTCTGTAATACTTTTGTGATTTTGGCTGACTTTCTGGGGGTGTGGATGTGTGTGTTCTCCATGTTGCACCTGAATAGGACTCAATGCATATGTCAGATATAAGCAAAAAAGGACTCAGATTTGAGGGTCTTGTAGAGGTTTTTCCACTGGCCTCACACGTGAGAGGCCCCATTTCAAGACC